AACCCCCATACAGCGGCTAGGTCTAAATGCGGCTATAGTTATCGAACCTTACGTTCTAGTTATAGTTATCGTACATTACGTTCTAATTTTTTATCTCGCTATCCTCCGCAGGTGAAATGATTACAATAAGTCTTAGAACCAAACTCAAAACGCGGAACAAATCAGATAAATTTTTTAATATAATCAAGTGAAAAAGCGTTAAGTTCGGCCGGGCCGAACTTTGGATACCCTCCACCATAGAAATACTGAAAAATTTTTGAAATGAAAACATAGGGAACATACATATAACTACAATTCTTCCAATCGATTGTTGTAAACCGAATAGAAAATTCAGCAATTTCAATGGGGGTTTTCCTAAAATCTCAAAACACTAACATGTTGACATATATTATTAACGCATGGTACGGTGAAACATGTGTATACATAGGGAACATACTCCAAATACTGAAATACTCCAATTTAGAGGGCAATATTATATATGAGGCATACTAAAGCGGGACCAATATTAACAACATTGTGTAGGAATAAGCAACTACTTGATGTTTTCATTATATAAGGGGTTAGGCCTAATTAAGGGCCGATGTAGCTCAAGTTCCAAGCTAATATTTTAGTTTTGAATGATTTTAGTTATGTTGTTTTATATAGGACCTGGTCCTAAATGCGGGTCGATACAGTTCATTCTCAAACCTCACGTTTTAGTTTTTATGTCGATATCCTCCGAGAGAAAAATTATTACAACATATGGCTAAATCGACTAAATCGTTTTAGAATTCCATACTATGAGGGGTATGAAATGAAAATTTCGTCTACCGAATATCCCCCCTACTATGGTGGAATACAGCTATATGGGATAACCCCAAAACACGGAAAAAATCAGCTAACTATTTTAAAATAAAAAAGGGGGTTATATGGGGACTACCTCTAAAAGGGGGTGAATATTAATATTTTTTGGTAGGGAGATTTGTTACTATATACGACTACAAAATACCAAATTGCAGCGAATTCGGTTGAAAACCGTGCTCAACAACCCCAAAATACCGAAAATTGGAGGGTACCCTTATATGGGGGCTACCCGAAAAAATGGACTTATATTTATAATTTTTAGTGGGGAGGTTTGCTACGCAATAAGAACTCAAAGTACCAAATTTCAGCGAATTCGGTTGAAAAATGGGCTCAAGAACTCCAAAATACCGAAAATTGGGGGTACCCTTTTATGAGGGCTAACCGAAAAAATTGACCTATATTTATAATTTTTTGTGGAGAGATTAGAACTCAAAGTACTAAATTACAGCCAATTCGGTGAAAAAATCCGATCAAACCCCCCCCCCCCCCCCCAAAAAATGAAAATTGGAAAGTACCATTCTATGGGGGCTACCAGAAAAAGTGGACCTATATTTATAATTTTTAGTGGAGAAATGTGGTATCCAAAAAGAACCCATTTTACCAAATTTCAACGAATTCGGTTGAAAAACGCGCTCAAGAACCCCGAAATACTGAAAATTTGGAGGTACCATTATATGGAAGCTATGCCTAAACGTGGACCGATATAGCCCATCATCGAACTTGACATACCTGCAGACAAAAGACGACTCTATGCAAAATTTTGGCGTTCTATCTCAACTCCTTTAGACGCTAGAGTGATTACAACAGACAGACGGACATGCTTAGATCGTCATAGAATTTTACGCTGATCAAGAATATATATATACGTTATAGGGTCGGAAATGATTATTTCGATGCGTTACAAACGGAAAAACAAAACTAATATACCCTCCATACTATGGTGGAGGGTATAAAAAAACCGTTCATACCCAAATGTCTCTTGCAGCAGATCGAAGAACTTACATACTAGCGATACCACCTCACTGAGAAGTTCGTTGGTACCTGATTTCGTGGTTAACAAGGCATTTAAAGACAAATGCATACTATTACCACTGCTATGCGTCTGTATTAATTTTAGCATAATCAGAACAAAAAATAATACGCAGGCCATAACTCTGAACCCAGACTTATGGGGAATATTCCCTTCTAAAATCTTAATATACTTCCAAGGAGCTTTCATCTTCATAAGAAATTCCCCACCCCAAACAAAGAGTGGCATTGTGTTAATGGCTCATATTCTTCTCATGTACCAAAATAATAAAAAATCATACAAACAGTTGGTTTACATCTACCTACTGATGGTATGATTATTTAGGTAGATTAATTTTATCGTTATCTGGTATCGTATATAGTGTTTTCGAAATTTTCAATGTGCTGGTAAATCAATACCAAAGCTTTTAAGGTTTGTAACATCGCGGATATATATTTGAAGATTTAAAGGAAAAATAATTAAACATGTTTGTTATTGCTTTGTTGTTGTTTTATGGGATTAAAGAAAAGTCCTTATTTTTGATGACGGGCATGACAACTTCTTACTGCAACATCGAGGAAGGGTCTGCACTTATATATTATTTTTATATATTTTATAAGATATGCTTTTCTTTTAAGTGGGCAAGATTAAAAACCTTAAGATATATATTCGAATGTATAAATTCGTCCCATCAAAATTCTGCGGGTAAGTTACTCAAACAAACGTAATTTTTGTGATGTATATGTCAAAATAATTCAATATCATTGCCACGTTACATTTCACAACTTCTATAAAACTAATACTATTATTATGACACTTGGTCCAAACCAGCATGACGAAACTATTGTTGCAAAGTTTAAATGCATCGTCTGGTTCTTCACACTCCGTAAATAGTTTAAATGCGCACTCCATCATTGTTGGCACATTTTCTTCAAAGTTGAAGTAAGCAATGTTTGTCATTTATTGCTTAGAAATGTTTTGTAGTCCAATTGTATGGTTTGCATCAACTCGAGTACTGTGTTTGGAATCCGAAAAGGAAGCGATGCAGGTAACATAGAAACACACACATGTACATACCTACCTAAATACAGATGAACTGCATGTCGTATGCTGTTAGTTGGGAAATTGGATAGTGTTCAATGCAAATATTTTACTTACCACAAACTCATTGCTCCAACGGTTCGCAAAACTGCGGGTGTAATATCCAGATCGATGACACCATAGTGGTTTGAAACTTTTCAAATAGTCTAAAGGGAGATTTTGTACATGTAACGAAAATTTGTAAATAGCAAGAGGAGGATGATGATGTTGTTAGTGATGATGATTTGCCATAGGGTTCAAGACGACAATGTTGGTACACGGTGGACGTAAACTAAAAATTTGGAAGCACTACTATGGACATGATATAAGGATAATACGTTAGTTAGTTATAATCTTGATCAAATGAAGGACTAATATTGTGTTTTTTCCAATATAGTATTGCTATTCCCAAATAACATCGTTTTATAAAGTAAATCATGAATATGATTTAATGCACTGTCCTGATTCATTATTTCATTAGAATATACCAGCCAGGAGTTATATAACCTACACAAAATCCTACCATACCATGGTGGCAAGCATTTGTCCTGAACGTCATTATTAGTAACAGTATACGAATTACTCTACTACTTTGTGTACCACCAACGATTTGTTGGTGTTATATAACTTATAACTGTTAAACACAACCAATCGTTGCGTACACAAATCGAACCTCGTGTTATGCATGGCTAGCTTTCACATACATCTACCCCGCATCCTAATGAACACTCCCACTTGATTGTATTTCCATTACACGACATTGGTAATTATGTGTTTGTGCTCCAACTTTCCAATATTAGCTGGTGCATTTTATCGTATCTATTGGACGTTTGGTGGTTGTTGTTCAGTAAGGGTATGTATTTCAAAATATTTAATTATGTAATCGATTCCTTGAACATTTGTAGTTTGGTAGACCTGTGTGTATGTGTGTTGATCACATGTCCCTAACACGCAACATATGACGCCACCAAATGTCATAAACGAAACCTCTCTGTCCTCTGTATGGGGAACACATATTTCCTCGCGTGTCTTTGTCCAGCAAACCACAATGCAGGCCACTCAGTTCCATTGGTGGTCATTGAATTGTGGGAACTTCTTTTAAGAAAACGAACTGTTTATTTATTGATTTGTGCATTGTCCAATTGATTGATTGATAAAATGAATGAATGACATGAAATATATACTTGTAGGTTACCATGTCAGCGGAAAACAGTGGGCGACAATTTTCAATGTGGGAATTTTAAAGAAAAGTTTATTTGTGTAGTAAAAGAGAAAATTGGATTAAATTGAATAGAATAGATAGAAAACAAAAATACTTTTTGTATATAATATGGGGTTTTCGAAATATAATGTCATAAATCCATGACACTATTTGACATGAGAAATCAACAAATGTAATAAAAATTAAACACATCTTGCATAATTCGATAGTACCTTGAAGACACGTGGGGGTTTTTGGGACGCTAGGTTTAAAAGTAGACCTATAACGAAAAATGTTCGTTTTGTGTTCATGGCGACGGATATAGGTCTGTTGATATATGACCATTATTTTTCATAGAAGATATTAACCCCAATGATTTTTTTGGTATAACAATTTTAATATCATGTGGAAAACAATATGGCGACGGATATAGGTCTGCTGATAGATGACCATTATTTTTCATAGAAGATATTAACCCCCTATAAAAGTCAGTCGAACCCTCTTATCCTTACTGCTTTTGTACTCGGACGGGCAAATTACAGCTACTGCTGTTGGTCAATTGTTTTTTAATTTATTTTTACAATTTTGATGCTCCCCTAACGTTAAAAAATGTCCCGAACATTTCACCAAATGACCACATAAATAAAACAAGCCAGTGAATTTTGTCATTCACCCTTGAAATATTCCATAGCACGCACATGCAATTCCACCCACGGTGTTCCGTTTGCCTTCACCTACATATACTTATAGATAATTTGGAATTTTTCAGTCAGTTTATTAACAAACGTTTAGAACAACGGTCAACATCTAATAATTTCAAAATCGATATTAAATAAAAAAAAATAATTATAAAAACAAAAAGGTAACATGGACAGAGAAAACCAAAATAAAGGTAATATTTTTTCTCTCAACTCTTAAAATTTCAAATTAAAAACAGTTTTGAAAATAAAATCCACACCTTTTCCATTCGCCCCCTACACTTAGATACAAGAAAAACCAGCATCGGTTCCTGCATGGAATGTAAATCAATTTCATCACCTTCAACACCATCAGCGACAACACCAACACAAACGCCTGACCACAAGAGTCCACTGAATATGGCCAGTAACTCGACTATACCATTTTCAAGGATGGCATATACCACAGCAGCAATGGTGGAAGAGGCTATGGATTCGTTACATGTGAATAGTCAGGACCGCCATAAAAATGCTACTAGTACGACTGCAGCTGACAACATATCCGCTGAATTCCAGATCAACACTGAATGTGACAAGGACAATGTTACCAGTAGCAGTGGTAGCAGCAGCATCACTGGCAGCAAACATTTGCCAAACACGTGTGGTAACAGCGAAACACCAATCAAGGATTTTTACCGTAACGCCACCATACTCATCACGGGCGGTACCGGTTTCGTTGGCAAGGTGTTAATACAAAAACTATTACGAACCTTTGAAGTGCGTAGAATTTACATGTTAATACGTTGCAAGTATAATATGACGGTGGAACAGCGTTTGCAGGAATACTTCAATGAAACGGTAAGTTAGGTGTAATCGTCACAGTGATTTCGTTGAGAAAAACAACGTTTTGTATAACAAAAATTTCTTCAGGAAAAATAACTTTGTTAAAAGGAAACATGTCCCTTATTGATTATACCCTTTTAAACATTTTGTTGAATGGCCTACAATTTGAGCTGAGTAATGCCACGTGGAAAATTTCTCACAACAATTTGTGTTCTATTTTTGGTATTAGTATTTGGTGCTGCTATTAAAGTGACATGTCATTTTAGGATTTATTTATAATTAATGTCATTCGCCACGACAAACATCACACAGGAAGCAAAGAAAATTATTCAACGTATTTTATATAAAGGGTCTTATTAAGAAATAAAATTGAAAATGTTGTGATGTGTGGCCGGACTCAACTTTTTATACACTACATCCTATGGTGGCATTCAAAATACCTAAAATCGGTGTGGACACTTATATATGACCATATAGAACCTAGATAAAAATCTTCTACAAAAAATATTTCTCAACCCTGTATTTACCTTGAATGGCAAATATCCAATACGGGGCGGTACCATTTTTGTGGGATATACAAAAACGTGGACCATGGCATAATTATGGAAGATTGTCTCATTTGAGAAATTAATAATGGCAAACTTTTTCTTTATGCAACTCATATATAAATTTCAAATAAAATAAAAAACCAGTGAGCGGAGCAGTATAGTCGGACGGGGCCGACCATACGATACCCTTCACAACTACCACGGAATTCAAATTTTCTGCGGATGTTTATTCCGAGCCTGGGCAATATTTAGTGATATATGCATCTGCCCGATTAGAGATAAACAGCACCTCTTCCTCAGACTGACATATTTTCCGAATATTACGAGTATTCAGTACAGCTATTGTCCAGCTTTTCTTTCACCGTGGGTTGTATTGTGATGTTCGGCTTTCATTTGTAGTCTATAGATCGACTCGACACAAAAAATTAAGTTTTTGGTCCACTTCACTCCAAAATTATTATCTGATATTCACCGAAAATTATAGGCGTTGTCCTTGACCATAACTGGAACCTCATGGAACATAATTGGTATTAATTTAAAGGTCAACCACTCCTCTATGATATAATATCATCTTCTCGGGTCTATGTCCTTCAGGGCTAAATATACACGCTATAGAATTCAAATTTTGTGATTTTTCACACAAAAGTCAGGGTTCATTTCACCCGCTAAATATTGACCGATCTTTATCAAAACAGGCATGCTTATTCTTTGGCCCGATCCCCTTCTCCATGCAAAATTTTACGATGTTCGGGCCATTATTGCGCCCTCTGGAGCGACCAGAAAAACCGACAAAAATTTAGTATTTGGTCCATTTCATCCCCTAAATATTAACCGATCTTTCCCAAAAACAATAGGGGTCTTCATTGGCCAGAGCCCATCCTACATGCAAAATTTCGTGAAGANTGGNCCTTAACTGTGGCCTGTATCGTGTTTACAAATTATAATGGGCGGACGGACGGACACACATGTCTAGATCGACTCAGCTAGTCGAGATATGACGATTGGTACACTTAAAGGTGGGTCTAGGACCAATATTTCGCGGCGTTACAAACTTTTGGGGCTGCACAAAGCTATAATACCCTGACAAAATAGTTGTGTAGGGTATAATAAATTGCATGAAATTGTGTGTATGTCAATTGAAATATTTTCAATATATTCTTATCAATAATATGTACTAAGGGTTTCCAGCGATAAATCGACAAATTTAATTAATACTACACCCTATAGGGTACAATTAATCTGTTTCTCAATTATATCACCGTATTTAACGGCCTCGTTTTGGTCTTGTACGGCATTGATTGTCTATGTAGACAATATTAGACCTAATATGAGCAGACACCTTTGGTCTAATGCACTTAAAGGTAGTTTGAACTTCTACAAAATATACGGAAAACCCCTCTGCTATAAAAAGGAATTTCGGTTTTTTTTATATGAACATTCTATGGCATTTATAGTTTGGCATGACTAATTTCAAATATTCCGCAGCACTCGAAATCACTGTGCCCTCAACAAGAAGATGTTCATCAGAAGTTTGCTATTTACAACCAACACCATCACACCTGAATGATGTTTACCTTTGACTCTTTTACAGATATTTGATACGATACGTGAACAGAATCCTCAACTTTTCGATAAAGTGCATCCCATACGAGCAAATTTCAATGCAATCGATCTGGATATTACACCCACAGATCGTGAGCTGTTGAGCAATGAGGTTGCGGTAAGTAAACTATTTTCCATTGCAAAACATTTTCCAATTTCCCCTACAACGCAATATGCCAGCTTACAACGTCTGGTTACACCTGCAGTTGTAGTGGTTGTCATCGTTGTTTTGTTTTTTTCTTTATTTCGATGCAATATTCGAAATTAAGCCACAAGAAGTTTATACACACAATACATCGAACAGCAAGCAATAAACCAAGCAATAAACCATTAGAATGCTATTTATGTTCATTGCTCATGCAACTATAAATGCAGACAAACGTGTAAGTTGGAATTTTTAAAAAGTCCAAAAGTTTAGGTTACCTTTAAAATTTGACAAATTTAATTTCATTTTATTTCCGCATAAAAATATTTCCCCTTAAAACTGATTTATTCAATATTTTCTTTGTAAAACTATGAAGTTTACAACGGTCTAAAACTTGTTGCAGTAAAATAGTTGGAAGTTTCCACCGACAGTTTGACATGTTTGTACTTCTGATTGAAATGCTGAATGCCAGCATGTTGATGGATAACAAAAACAAACATTTATTCATTTGTTGAATTTGTATGTTTGATGGAAGCCAACATACTGTAAAATGCAACTAACAGAGACATACACACACAGTTACACATATATTGATAATAACTATTATAGAGGAAGAAGTATATGTGGATACGTTTAAAATTGTAAATATATTATTGAGTACTCTACCCAGGCCTAGGCGACTATACTATTTGTCAATTATCCCAAAAGAATACACTTCACGGATACACTCGTGAACATGTATATGCTAAGAATTATGAATACATATTCATCACATAGCCCCCGTATACACATTTTATTGCAATACCTTAATTAGTTCTAATGTTACGGCACAAAGACCATATCATTAAACTTTTCATTTTCACAATTTCAATCTAGCGCATCAATAGATGACGCTGCAGTCGCCAAATTCTTAGGTCTTTCGGGAAATTTGTCTTCCACCAATCTGAAGAGTGAATATAATGGTCTAAATCTGAATTCCGGGAAAACGTGACCTTATAGTTTTTTTTTCTGAACATTACTTCACAGTCAATAAAAATTCTTCCAACTCTGAGATTTACAATATTTTAGTACATTAAATAGTCGACATGTGTCTATAAAAAGATTTAGCATTGAATACAGTGATTTGAAAAAGCAACAGCAAACTGTGTAAATATTTAAATTGATGAATACAAACGCGAATGTTGACAAGTTTTCCGATATGTTCGTAATTGAAATACAAGCATTCTTCTGGCAGAACTGCAGTGAACAAATAAATGAATGAATTTCAGAGACATTCAGTCAATAAAATGCATGCAGAGTAGGACTGTTGTGTGTGTATGTGTGAATAGTTGTTATACAACCAAATACATTTATGTTAGTTTTCGTTGTGTTTTTCTACAAATAGTTGATTGAAAATATACATTTATTTTTTGTTTGATTTCACAGATTGTTTTCAATGTTGTCGCCTCGGTGAAGTTCAATGAAAAACTAAGCGACGCCATCGGCATCAATGTCCTGGGAACAAATAAGATATTAGATTTGGCTATGGAAATGAAACATTTAAAGGTAAATAGTTTTTTTCATTGAGTTTTTTTCATTGAAAAAAAAAATAAGCCCAACCAATTTATTTCATGTCCAACTAGTCATTTGTTCACATTTCAACGCTGTATTGCAACTGCAACAGGAAACACATCAAAGAGAAAGTGTACGAAACGGAAATTGGCTATGAAAAAATTATGCAGGTAATGTTGGCTAAATGCAAAAAAGCGGTGAGCGAAGGATGACCCCACTAATTTTTTAAGTTAAAAGCACATGGTAAAGGCGTTGAAATTCAATTTATCCACTTTGTTTTAGATTTCTCGCATATTTGATGACGAGACACTGGAAAAGTTTCGTCCTTGTCTAATTGGAGAAATGCCAAATACCTACACCATGACCAAGAAATGTGCAGAGAATTTGGTTAACCACAAAGCGTTTCATTTGCCAGCCGGAATATTTCGACCACCAATTGGTAAGCTTATGTTAAAGGAATAACAACTAGGACAGTTTAATACTCTTAGGAAGCAGATATATGTGTCGGTACGTTGGCAAAGGTGTCCTTGTCTGCCAGTACTTGAATTTGTGTTTTTTTTATCCGGAATGAAGGAACAACTTTAGTTAGTATATCCCAAAGGCACTCATACACAGATACGCAGAAACACACACACACTCTCTCTCAACTTAATAGAAGTTTCGAATAGTCAGTTAATGGTTTTAGTTGTGATAACAGAAAAAGCTGAAAAAAACGAAGTCGAGAAAAAATGTTTAAAAGCATCTCGAGTTGATAAAAAATTACCATTTTGCACATTTTTGTAACAGTTGATGTTGCCGTTGTTGTTGTAGTTGCTGCTGTTTGTTTGTCAAATACAAAAGTGCAAAGCAGAGAACCATATAACAAGTGCATTAGTTAGTAAACTGGTGTCCCAGTGGCTGATAGCAACATTTGGACAAAACTTTTTTTTAAACTAACATTCAAAGAAATTTCGGATGTGAAAAATTGAATACTGTAAAATATATAATATATATACCTTTGTATACAAGAAAAAATGGATGATAATAACTAACTGGTATTAAAAAATGTTGACGCAGTCCTGCACATATTAAAATTTATAACAATGTTTAATGTCTGACGTAATGGGAGAAAGCCAAGAATCATACTAAAATGAACAAAACATCTATAAAAGACGGTTATTTCAGCCGGGTGAAATGTTACGCCATTAGGCAAAATCGATCGGTACTTTTCTATATAGGTTATACCATGGTTAATTGCTGCCAGGAAACCAAACGAAATTTGAAACTGTCAAAAACATCCAACTCGGTTAAAAATTTATTCACTCTACTTTATTAAGGTACACATTATATACAAATAATTTTTGCGGTGTATGCAATGTTTTTGCTCCAACAAATGTCTTTATATCTAAAAATGTAAGTTAGTGCAGCAATAGCTAAAAAAAAACTAGTGAACTTTGCTATTTAGCATCAGTGTAACATACAGAGGGAGAATCACTGCAAAAGATGTAAATAGATAAACCAAGAAAAAGTTTTTGTTTGTGCCATTTGAATGGAAAGAGAAAAATAATATCTTCATGTTTAAAAGAAAAAAGGAACTATTGAGGAGAATATTGTAGCTGCAGGGTATAAATTTAACAATGACCTCCCCAATTTATTCAAATTATAGCCAATGTATAATAATTGTAACTCCATTACTGATACATGCATTGCTACATCATAACATAGGCCATCCTAGGATTATTAATATAAACTATTCTATCGTATGTGTAAAAGATAAAAACACATTTTTAACATTGTCTGTGGTTATGTTTATCTAATCGCTCTCTTCACCTTCTTAGTCATGTCAACATACCAGGATCCAATACCGGGATGGACTGACAATTTATATGGCCCCTCAGGATTATGTACATGGTCTGCCAGAGGTATGGTGCGTTGCATTTATGGAAATTCGAAGTGTAAAGCGAATATGGTACCGGCAGATTATTGTGTCAATGCAATGATATCATGCGCCTGGGATGTGGCAAGGAGGTACGATACGTGTAAATTAAACTGTGCAATAATAATGAAAATCTACCGTTTATTTATAGATATGAATTATCGAAAACCGAAAAAGATCAGAGACGAGAGTTGCCTGTATACAATTATATATTTGAACGCAATAATTTAACATGGGGCCAATATATGCATTTATCGCGAAAAGGATTTCATGAACCTTTCGACAAGGTATTGTGGTAAGTAGTCGAAAAAAAATTATAATTATTATCATTTACATATATATTTTGCATTGACCTAATATGATATTTGGGGTTCTTGATTATGATCGAAAGTGGCATTTTGGTGTATTGAAATTTGATGTTAATAATAAATAGACATATAACTGGAATTCTTGAAACCAGTTAATAGATCGCATCGAATAAAGTCTACTTAAGTGACAAATGTAATAATGTGATTTTCATCCGTATATTTCATAATCATACGGATGAGCTACATTACAAAAATTTATTGCATGACCCTATAAAAACCCGGATGTTAAAATATTGCTAATGTTAAAAATAACAATCAATTTTTATGTTAAATCACCTCTAAACGATGGCAGTAACAACAAACAGCAACAAAATATTTGGCAAACATTTTTCTCTTTAACCAATAACTTTATCTGCAATGTTATAATCTATTGAATCGAAAACCGATACAACATCATTTAGATATTCCACAAACACACACTGACACCAATAAAAGCCAAAATCAAGCCATAACAAATAATGGTAAGCGATAACATCATACTCGAACACTAACTTACACGTAAATAAATGCTTCATGCAAATTGTGTGTGTGGTCCAAAATCTGCTTATAAACAAAACCGTAGCCAAAATATATTTTAATATCTATTCGAGGTGAGTTTATTGTTGTAGTGTAGTGTGTGTACTCTACAGCATGCCATGGCTTACGTGTAGGAGTTTTGAAAATTTTTGGGTAACATTCATTGAAAATTGTTCGGCAAAATTAGCTTTAAATAGTTTGAAATTTGAACATAATTTCGTATATATAAAATGTATGTCGGGTGTTTTATTTATAAAATACCTAAATATAATGAATGTTTTCCCATTTTTTATGGTACTCTATTGTCGTCTATACTGATCATAAAATATTTCTTTTTTCATTTCAAATTTTGGAAACTTCATTGTTTCGCCATCTATCGATGCTGACGATGGTATTTTTATCGGTGACCAGGTGTTTCTCATACATTATAATACCATGGAAGCCATTACACTATGCAGCCTCCATTGTACTGCATCATATGCCGGCCTACATATTGGATTTAATTGCTCTAGTTACGGGTCAAAAACGCATGTAAGTATGCACCAACAAATAGTCAGGCAGCCAACTAGCCAGCCATTCAAATTCACATCGATTGTTGTTTCGACAGTATCTTTTTACGATGTCACATAACGAACGATTATTCCGACTGCCTCTGCTAACCTATTTTTATGTTTTGTTTTCTCAGCTACATAAAGGCCTATGCAAAGATTACCAAAATTATTTATATGATGTCCTGGTTTGGCCTCAAGCACTGGTCATTTGCCAATCGTAATGTCACCGAATTGGATGAACTATTGACGGGCAAAGAGAAACAATATTTGCAATTCAATATCAACACCATCAATTGGACAGATTATTTTCGCTCGTATTTAAGTGGCATACGTAAATATGTCTTCAAGGATAAAGAGACAAATTTGGGGAAGAGGAAAACTTTTTATCGAAGGTAAACAGAAACAAAATTTGTTATGCTTAAGTAGTTTTTAATTACATTTTAATTGCTTTGTTATGGATATAATTATTTTTTTTTCGTTGAGTTTTCAACAGACACATATAGGTGCATTTAATATGTGGTGATTTGTATGTCAAGGACATGATTGAAAAAATAAATATGATATTAATTAAAACAGGACAGAGGAGTAAAAATTTGAATTTATACAGATAAACAATGTAAAAGGCCATTATTAAAAAATATATATTTGTGGACAATATTTGAAGTATTTCGATATTTTCGAATTTAATATATTAAGTGTAACAAAAGCACAAATACGGCTAAACGACATGATTAAAACCGTTTAATATTATTATAAAATAATTTATTTTTGACAAATGCTCACGTAACTAATATCTTTAATTTTCCATCTCTTTTCAGAATATTGTTCTTGCACAATTTATTAAAGACCTCATTTGGCATTACACTCATTATGTATCTGGTTAAGATATATTTCAAAATATTCAAAGCGATACCAAAAATTAAATTTTAATGCTGACTCTACTACTACATCATTTGTCTATACTAACTTAATCCCACCATAACCGATAATATATTTCGATATAAAACAGCTCTCAAACAAAACTACTTGCCCTTGTAATAAATATATGAGGCAACCGCAAAGGAAAAACTACCTTATGGCTCTAACTGACTGAAAACATTTTTCTTCTAGTGGTGATAATTATGACTACAATATAATGACCACCATTATTGATAGTCGTGGCGTTGCTGTCCTTGCCCTTTTGGAATTTTCCTGTATCTTCAACTATAAATTATTTGAAGTTAGTGTGCTGTAATTATGGAGGAAAACAAAAATAAATGTATTTTTAATCTTTGGAAAAGTGTTCTTCTTGCGTATTCTTTATATTAAGATGTATATCAATGATAAGTATGTATGTCCGTTCCATTTGACTATAATTAATGGACTATTCTAGGTAGAAATGGAAAAAAATACAAGAAAACTTACCGTGAAAATAGTTCCAATAACTTACATGGTATATTAAAAATGATATACTGTGGCTCTTTGTTGCAAGTCTAGTCGCTCATTGTCGTCTTGGGTAAAAAGGTGATAGAGGAAAAATGAGTTAATAATAAAGGATTCAATTGGGTGTGCTTCACATTGAGCCATATTTCAAAGGCATTAACAAATTATATATGGGAAATTACAAAAATCTTTTAAATTCCTTGAAGCTGAGGTTTGCAAGGTTATAACTCGCGAAATATGAACATATTGCATATAATTTAAATTCAATTCTATAAAATGAAGTGTTCTTGTCAAAATCTTGAAATTTTGGTAATAAATAATAAGTTGCGTGGAAGCTGTGATGGTGGTAATGTATAAAAATGGGTAAAAATGTGTTGAAGCCAACGAGTTTTTTTGTGTTCGTTCCCGATTTGTGGCTAAACTACACAACGCACGCACATGTGATCAGTGACTAAGTTGCAGAATACCCCATGGACAATATGGTTCTAATGTATGATTTTTCGATATAATCACTGCATCCACCCAAAATGGATGCTGACATTTTGAAGCCGGATTTTCGGTGTTTTTTGAATTTTTCTTATAATTAGGATGCGCATCCAGATAATAGAATAAACTAATTACAGGATCGTAGAACTCGTGATTCTGCTTCGTTTAGTGTATATCTCATGAATGTGCCCACTGTAGCTTCTTTGCAATTGGGTTCCAAAGACGAAAATTTGGTGCGTAAATTTTTATAAAAAACATATTTTTTGAGTCTTAAATTAAGAAAGTCCATTCAAATTCCGTGGAACCCCGCGTGATTTTAGTTTTTTTACGTGCCGTAATGAGCCCATCCATGTTGAATTCCGTCCAATAAAACGGCGGATATAGGTACCTTGAATGTGGGAAAAACTGCAAAAACTTATTTTGACAAATTCGCCGAAATAATCGCGGTTTTCTTCGAATTAATTTTACATGCATTTATGATTGTATTGTCAAATTCGCGAATCTGTGTGGAAATAGGTCAAAAATACATCGATACGCGAATAATATGCATATTTTATCCAAAATTGATTGTGGAGGCACATCCGCGGTTCTTAACCGATCCTTTTAAAATAGGTGTCCTTTTGCGTATTTTCATAGGAGATTACTAAAATCGGATGCGCATAAAAATCGTATGCACGTTGCGTGATTTTTAGCCATTTTTAGGGTTTTTGCATAGTAAAGTGCATCGAGTGGCACACTTTGACCGCTAAATTAAACATCGAAAAATTAATAATTATTGAAAGACGTTGATTCGGTTTATACGAAAATCGCATGCGCATCAACTGATTTCAACTAATTCGCGAATTGCAAGCTTTTCAATATTGATCATTTTTATGTATTGTAAGTGCAATATATTTAGCCATTAATGACGTCGAAACTCTTATCAGATGAATCTGCCGATATTTAACAATCATCTAAACGAATTTGCAAAAGAAAGCGTCGTATATTTTACAAGATTAAGGCAAAACCGTATCCTCTTAGACATACCAAAAAATCGAAAATTCCAAAAAAACATTTGTTTTAATTCAAAAATTAATTTATTTTATTTTCCGATATATGCATGTTTCTATTTGTTTTTCGCGACTATTAAACCGTATTTCAGTGTGATTTGACTAGTATGCAAAGAAAACAATGGTGTTTAAGCATTTGTGAAGAAATTCGCGAAATACATCGAATAGGAATCCATTTAATTTATATTTGAAATACAAGATTTAAAACCGCTATAACTTTTGTGCGCAGCATCCGAATTTGTGAACGCGAACATATTTGAAATCAGCATATTTTTCTTAACCTATGTACCAAAAATCATAAATGTGCTCGCAAAAAATTTTTTCAAATTTTTTTTAATGGAATTTTAAAAGAATTTTGTAATTTCCCATATGTTGTTAATAAAAATGTAGTAAAAATTGCAGTATTAGCTACATCGTTATTCATATTAATACGCTCTAATTAAAGGGTTGATAGGCGTTATCTTTGCTTAGTATTTTAGCAGTGATAATATTCATGCTTGTATTTAAACGTGATTTTTTAATCGTGCTAAGTAAAATAGAATACTACTCGCGTACAAGCATGAGAAGAACTATAGCGCAATATTTCACATCCAGTTTTATTTTTATTTCTGATACCAAAAAATTATTTGTTAGTTATTCTGATAAAAATCCAGACATCGAAAAGGATTATATCAGTGAACATGTATATGTACCGCCAATATCAGTAGTTTGAAGATTTTAGCTACAAACATCAACCATAAATGAGAATTCCGCATTTTTGGACAGTAAGAAGTCATTCGTGTAAAAATTTCAATATAGGTTCATATTATGAAAAAAACTAAACCTTTTATACGCATGTATAAAATCAAAAAAAAATTCTTCTCACAGGAACTATATCAAATCCGTACTACGCACATATCACATTTTCTGTCTAACAAAAAAAAAAACGACATTCTTCAAAGTATTATTGGTAACATTGTCGTAGTTGATATTCCTTTGCTTTTGTTGGATTATTAATAATTGTTGTTGCCATTGTAGTTAGCTGCATGTTTGCCGTGCATGGAACAGAAAAAGGGCGGATGTATTGGGATACTTTACAACCATTGTATCCGGATAAGTTTATATTGTTCTCTGAGCACATATGTACACATACTAGTTGTACATATGAATTGTTATTGTTTAGCCCATAAGTCAGAAAAAACAAACGCACACACATACAATGAACAAAAAAATCCAACATTCAGGGAGGTGTGTAGATTGCCATTGTTCAACATATTTATTAGTCAATGGCAGAATTTTAAACACATTAGGTTTTGTGGAATGGACCGTAAAATGTCAATATGTATTTTTCCTGTTTTTCTAATATTACATTAGGTGCAGAAAAAGGATTGTGGACAATGTTAAAAAAAGGTTTGCAGGTATCACATAGAAGTTGAATGAATATTGTTGTAATTATTTGATGCAGTAGTTCATGGTTCTGGGGAAATGGATAAACAGCTAAGTCATAAGTGTATTATAGTGTTGTGTGGCCTCATGAGTTTGCAACGCAGTGAAATACAGATCCTAGACCTACTTTTTAGTACTAGATATGTTTTTGGTTCGGCTTATTGAAAAGCGTTATTTTGTTGCTTTATAGACGACAAAAATGACCCAAAAACCACAGAATATTACAGTGAAAAAGGGACCTGACCAATGAAGAAGCATGGATCTTTTCATGGCAATCGGTAAATATAAAGAATGTCAAATTGAAAACTCTTTTTTTTGTTTTACGTACAGGTTCAACATTTAGTTTCATTTTGAACTTTTTACCATCACCACCACTAAATTTAGTACCAATTACTTCCAAAACACCCTTGGTACTTCTTTCTAACTCTCAGTCAGTGACCGACATTCTAAATTTTAGGTTTTCAGCTCTCTCCGTTACCCAAATTTAGTGCATTTTCTATTCTATTTACTGTCCGTACACAAAAATTTGATTTTCCAAAATTGTCGCCATAACTCAATACTACACTTTAACAATAATCTAATCTAAGTAAGAATTTCTAAAACTACATCAATCCTACACTCGAACATTAATCTTAATTCGACCAAAATCCAAACCGTACCAAATTTAGTACTTTTCGTGCTAATAATTACAAATTTCCAAATGTACCTCAATCATTCTTTCAAATAACAATTGTAAGTTCAAATTTAAGAATTTCAGCTCTGTCTGTTCCCCAAATTATACCAGATTTGGTACCATTCTGTACTTTTCCTATACTCCCACAGTAAACTAAGTAGCAACTTTCAGAATTCGAGTTCTAAACGTTCACACAAGTCCACATTGTACCAAATTTTGTGCTATTCGTACCCATAAGAACGAATTTCCAAAACTACCTCAGTCATTCACTCCAATAATAACCTTAAGTGCACATTTAAATATCCCAGCTCTATCCGTTCACCAACATCCAAATTGTATTAAATTTAGTATCATTTTTTACTTTTCGTAGACGTTAGTACGAGGTTCTAAAACTTCTCAATTTCACACTCCAAAACTATTTTTAATGACAAATTTCAGGATCCCAGCCCTATCCGTTCACATAGATCCAAATTGTACCATATTTAGTACATTTCGCACTTATGAGTTCGAATTTCCAACACTGTCTCAATCCTGTACTCTATCCTTTTATTCAAATCTAAATTGCACTTAACTTAGTACCATTTAGTTCACATAAATACGCATTTTTAAAATTAACTCCATGACTCATCCTAAAATCCAATCCTTAATTTTAATTCAAAATTGTATGATTCCCGCTCACACAAAACGAATTGTACCATATTTAGTACCATTTAGTGCTTCTCGTATCATTAGTTCGTAATTCCAATACTACCTTAAGTCTGTAATCTTTCATTCCAAATTTAAGTTTTCCATCTCCATCCGTTCACACAAATCTAAATTATACCAAATTTAGTACAATTTAGTACACGTATTACAAATTTTTAAAACTACCTATA